CATACACGGATGTGGTGTTTCTCTGTCAGGGCTGCAGGGGAGAAAGGCAGGTGCCTGGCTCCAGGGGTGGGGACTCAGAGCGGGGCCCTGAGAGAGGCCCTGCCTCGGGCTGAGCTCCCCAGGCCCTGTGTCCCTTCCCACCACCCAGGGCCCACGGCCTGGACAGGGAGTGTCCAGTGTCCTGTTCCTGCTCCAAGATGGGTCCCATGTCCCTGGGTCCTCTCCGGGGCCCTGCCTTACCTATCACCTGCAACTCCAGCTTCTTGTCTGGGTCAGTATATCGTTGGGGCTGATACCCAGGATATATTATCTCCATTTGGAGGAAGTAGCGTCCTGTGTCACCCCTCCTGGCGTCTATGATTTTCAGGGAACAGTCGTTGGTCGTGGCGTCCGTGAGGACGAAGCGGCCTTGGGTCTCTGTCTTCCCTGGTCTATATGGGTGGCTCGAGGCCACGGGAACATTAATGTTGTCCCCTTCCCGGTACAGGTAGGTGTAGACTTTGGTAGAGGAAGACCACGAACTCCACGGGTAGGAGAAGGAGCAGGGCACGTGGGCCATCCATCTGTTCATACATATATCCATGCACACACCCATGCATCCATGCATCCATCCATTCATCCAACAGTAGTGGGACACTGTTCTAGGCACATGGATTAATAAAATGATAGAATTATATAATCTAATATCTCTCCATTTCCTAAACCTGTCATGTTTCTCTATCCCCCTTCATACTTTTGCTCTTGCTATTATTAACCCTGGAATATCCTTTCCTACTAGGAACATTTCTTCTCGTTGTTAATATTCCAGTCCAAAGGTACCATCACCTGAGAGGTGTTATTCAAATGTCTGAGCCTGAATCAATAGTTTGTGCCTATTTATTCACTTGCTACTTGATGCATGTATATTCACTAGCTCTTGTCACATTTTCTTAGTCACTTAAAGTAATAATAGCAATTCTAAATAGACTTTATTTGGTAAATACTCACTATGACTAGGTACTTTGCCATCAGCTTCACATGTATTACACATTTAGTCCTCACAGTAACACTAGGCAGAAGTTACTGTTATCACCCTTATTTTATGGAAGAAAATGAGGCATGGAGAAGTCATTTAGGAGCTGTTATAACTTGGCAGTGAGCTCTCCTTGGAAGATATGGAGAGAA